AAATGTTTTATCATGTAATGGCAGTCAAAATGGAGGAATTCTGGCACTGTTGTAATAGGGGTATTGCATTCACAGGAATTAGTACCTTCAATGATTGTAAAATAGATAAGTGACTTGTATGAACTTCAACACCATATACCACCTACTGGAGATTATTGCATCTTCAGACAAGCAAGTGACAATATGGGTTGGCACTTAACCGAGATGACTCCTCCAAACAATAACTGTATACTGCTTGATCTGAACCAAAACATTAGTATTGCAGGAATTTCATCATTAAATTTGACAAAAGTAATATATTTTGGTTTGTGCTTCCCACATTCTTGAGATAACTGCTGAATAATTGATTTTGTAATGTTATCAAATTGTTAAAGAGAGCCTGACCTTTAGTGTGAAAATGTTAATGTTTCATCATGACCTTTTCTGAATAACCATACCATTCTTTGCATTAACACCAATTCATCCAAAGACCTCCACCCTTATTTTAATATACCAGGCCAGATCAATACTTTCTTCAGTGAAACAAAAAACCTAAAATAAACATATTTAGAAACACCCTTTTTTCATTCCCTTTGATGAAATTAAAACTTACATATAATTCCATGTCTAAAATAGCATCTTGAATTCTCCAAATATTTTTACAATCACTAATATATACTTTCCATCAAAAGTTTAGACTCACTAGTATAAATATAGCCACTTACTTCAGGCAACTGTTCTAAACTAGATTTAGCAAATTATTCCATACTGTTTAAAGGTATTGTTTACACATGAACTGATGTATTGTAAAACAAATTCGTAACGTTGAAAAGATTGCTGTCATGAGTTCAATAAATGATAAAAATCAGTGAAAATTGGCGAATTCTTAACAAAACTTTACACCTAAACGCAGCTGTTCACATGCACGATATTTGCACATGCTTTTCAGCAATTTGATGCATGATCATCGTGCAGTTCATCTGCTTAAGGTTTGCAGTTGGTTCCCCAAGTTAGTGGAGAAATTCATCTTCGATGTAACCATATGTATATACATAACATATAGTGAGTGTTTTAAGTGAGTCTAAACTTTTGATGGGAAGTATATTTCAACCTATATGATATTTTCTAAATGGTAGCTATACTTAATATCTGATCAGACCATTGCATGATCTACTCAAACGTGCATAGATTCAGTGTTATTAACCTCATGGTTTCAGATGAGGATGTAGATAAAGGACGCACTGGTTTGGCTGGAGGATGACAGCGCCATCACTAAGAAATTGTTGAAAATAGAAACTATGGTCAGAAAATAACTTTTACAGGAACATTAAAGCTAAATGAACATCCCTTGTCAAAATGGAACAAATTTTATGATGAAGAAAATATATTGGACTACTTGAGTGTTGTTCCAGATACTAATAGCAGTCTTGAGAATGGTTCCAGCAAACTACCATCAACATATATTCACTATCTAACCAATTCTCGTAAAACCAAAAGGAAATTAATAAGGAAAGCCAAGTTCTATGGATAGTAAACTTCTTTATTGCAATGAGTGCGACGTTTCAGTGTAGGTACTAACACCGTTATCAAGCAAGAAGTTGACTATCCATAGAACTTGGTTTTCCTTCACCTATACAACATAAATAAATGCCTCTCAAAGAAGGAAATAAATACATTGTCCATGAGGCTAATTACTATTTTATCAGCATTGCAGAGTCTCATTAGCCTAAATAAAACTTTCAGAAGAATTTAAAGTTTATTAAACATTTACAAAAATATCATGATGATGTTCATAATAGAGCAAAGTCTTATTATGAATTTTTGATTGCATCAGAACACTGTTTTACTGACACAATACAGTTTATGTTCAACTGAACATACACAATACACATGGTTGACTACAAATGTAGACCTACTGCCCATGGTGACGTACAAAGCAATCTTATTGCTTCTATTGTTGCAACTCTATATTAAAGTATGGGAGTTATACCACCTTAGCAACTGCTTTGCAGAACAGGACCACAAGAGGTTACAGTTCATGAAGTGTTGTAAATTATACATGCACAAATTCTTCATCATGCAAAGTCTGTGATTCAGTGAATATGGTTTATGCTGCTTTTTGTATTTACATTGCAGTATTTTCACTTGATAAAAGCTCCACTGACACCCCAACCCACATTCAAATATAGGTTCATCGTGCAATGTCTTTAATGCTGCCTACCCATGAAGGTCCGGGTTAGAATATTGATCTTCAGTAACCCATGCTTGTCGTAAGAGGCGACTACCGGGATCGGGTGGTCAGACTCGCTGACTTGGTTGACACATGTCATCGGTTCCCAATTGTGCAGATCGATGCTCATACTGTTGATCACTGGATTGTCTGGTCCAGACTCGATTATTTACAGACCGCCGCCATATAGCTGGAATATTGCAGAGTGCGGCGTAAAAATTCAACTCACTCCCTCACTTTAATGCTGCCACCAGTGTACTGAATATAAGCTCATTTGCCATCGACTGAAATAGATCACTGCCTCCAGAGAATATATAACTGACATTTGAAACTCTGGTGTCACTTTCAGGTTAATAATTAATTGTCCAGTACAATAGTCTCTCTATATTTCCTCCTACTGACCCAGTAAATGTCACTGTTAATAAAACAATTCCCCAGAAAGAAATCATTTTAATTATATCAAAGTACTGACCATATTTATCATGATCAAAATCCACAAATATCAAAGGAATAAATAAATAAATATCTGGCTTTATCAATATCCCAGCTACATTATGGCTGGGAATATATGGAGAATGGGTTTCATACATTGTACCCTTGTGAAGACTTGAACCCTATTCTACATTTGTGTATATTCATCAGTTTGGCATAAGTATATCATTATTAGGCAGCAGTCAGGTAGCTTAGTGGTTGGAGTGTTTGCTTATCAAACCAAAGATACAGGTTTGAATCCCCATGTGGGTGCAATGTGGAAAGCCCTTTTGTGATGTTCCATGCTATGATATTGCTGGAATATTGCTGCAACAGCAACATAAATCTTTACTCACACTTTCAATAGATGATTACGAGGTTTATATTTTTAAAGGCTTGGCATGCTTTCAATTAAGCAACCCATGACATGCAGTCTCATTTTCAGGGCAGTACATAATTTGGATCATCATCATCATCATCATCATCATCATCATCATCATCATCATCATCATCATCATCATCATCATCATCATCATCATCATCAAAATAACATATGTATATGGAAGAATGTGAGATAAAATATCAAACACAGCAGTATTGCAAGGTAATATCACAGCAGTTCAAATTTACTCAAATTCAAAATTATATATAAAACACGTCTTGGACAAAGTCAGCAGTACACAACAAGGTATTCTTTGACTGCCACAGCAGAAGTCTGGTCTTTTAATAACAAGCAGTTGTATGGATGACCTTGTGTGTAAGTAAACACGATGGCCATGATGACCAAATGAACACATTGAACAATAAAGTCCATCTTGCCAGAAAGTTGTCTTCCCTACATACCGCTTGTTAGTAAATGAAGTGTCTTGCCACAGGACAATGTGGACGGACACTTACCATTAACCCATTCTACAAAGCAATCGTTGCACTACAAAAGTTGTAAGTCTGAGTTGTAAGTTTTCGGAGTTGCGATCTCCTTAGCACAAAGATCAGTTTGTGAAATGGGCCCAGATCCACAATCCAGGTTACTTTATCAACACTTGAAAATGTTCACTTAGAAATGGAAAAAGTACAAGTACAAAATCTCTTAAAATTCCCTCATTAAAAAACCAAATGATATATAAAAACTCCTGTAGGTAAACAAAATTGCAAGGAATATAAATATAATCTGTAACAAAACACTAATGCTTCCTTAAAATGGAAATATATACAGTGGAATCCATTCATCCAGGGGCGGATACAGATTTTTTAGAAAGGCGGGGTGGTGCGCACTCTTGCGAAAGAGGGGGTGCACACTTCATTTTCACGAGAGTTTCAATGATCATTTAATAAACTTGCAGAACAAAAGCGGAGTTGCGCAACCCCCCTCTGGATCCGCCTATGTAATCCGGATGCCTGTGATGAAAACAGTAGCATTAGGGTATTGCGTGGGATATAGACGAGAACTTATTCATGTTTTTTCTTAACTATTGTTTTCAAAATGTGCAATGAGGTACCGCTGTATATTGCTACACTCTATGATGTAGGTATTTCTAATCTCGATAAATATAACATTATGTCATGGTTTTTGTTCGGAAACAGTTTGTCCTTTGTCATGCTACTGGTATTGTCTAGTCTGTAGCACGGAGGTCTCCTTCAAGTAGCTCTGTAGCACATAGATCATCTCCGTGTAGCTCAATCTTTAAATATTACCTCCATGTAGCTCTATCTGCAGCATGGACACCATCTCCATGTAGCTCTGTCTGTAGCATGGACACCATCTCCATGTAGCTCTATCTGTAGCATGGACACCATCTCCATGTAGCTCTATCTGTAGCATGGACACCATCTCCATGTCTCTGTCTGTAGCATGGACACCATCTCCATTTAGCTCTAGCATGGACACCATCTCCATGTAGCTCTGTCTGTAGCATGGACACCATCTCCATGTAGCTCTGTCTGTAGCATGGACACCATCTCCATGTAGCTCTGTCTGTAGCATGGACACCATCTCCATGTAGCTCTGTCTGTAGCATGGACACCATCTCCATGTAGCTCTGTCTGTAGCATGGACACCATCTCCATGTAGCTCTGTCTGTATGTAGCTCTGTCTGTAGCATGGACACCATCTCCATGTAGCTCTGTCTGTAGCATGGACACCATCTCCATGTAGCTCTATCTGTAGCATGGACACCATCTCCATGTAGCTCTGTCTGTAGCATGGACACCATCTCCATGTAGCTCTATCTGTAGCATGGACACCATCTATCTGTAGCATGGACAGCATCTATCTCTCCATCTGTAGCATGGACACCATCTGTAGCCCCATGTAGCTCTATCTGTAGCATGGACACCATCTCCATGTAGCTCTGTCTGTAGCATGGACACCATCTCCATGTAGCTCTATCTGTAGCATGGACACCATCTCCATGTAGCTCTGGATACACCATCTCCATGTAGCTCTATCTGTAGCATGGACACCATCTCCATGTAGCTCTATCTGTAGCATGGACACCATCTCCATGTAGCTCTGTCTGTAGCATGGACACCATCTCCATGTAGCTCTGTCTGTAGCATGGACACCATCTCCATGTAGCTCTATCTGTAGCATGGACACCATCACCTGTAGCTGCCTATAGCAAGAAAATGACTCTTCAAGCTGACTTCTTGAGTGCTCCTTTTGGCAGCACAAAGTCCCAGATTCGTATCGTGCCATCGTCGCTGCAGGTGACAGCCCTCTCAGCAGACACCTACAACACAGGCACAGACATATAGAGACACTGATGTCTTCAACATACACAATACATCACACAACAACAGGCTGTCTGAAACAGACAGCACATCAAATACATCAACAGGTCGTCTTAAAGATGTGTGTGGAATATAGAATATTGATTCTTGGCCTTTCTGGTTCTTTCAGAGATTGGCAATATTCCAGAGAGGAAAAACTTCCTATTAATTTGAAAAACTTGAATTGTAAACCTGATACATATTATCATCCTTGGAATTCTTGAAGAATTGAATGAACTTCTGATTAAATGGATAAAATATTTGGGAAACAGGAGGTAACATGAATGAGTTAGTTTATTCAATGTATTACATATTATCGCATAAGTATTACATAGTGGGTTATTTCACAATGGATTCATTAAGAGAAAACAGGTTTTCAACTAGAAAGTGTTTTTACTCATAAAAACAGATGTTTCCCCTTCACCCAATTCAACGTTGAGACCTCAAACAATTCATTTGATTCCTTCAATTTCAAAATCTCTATCTTCAAAAAGACCAAGTCCAAATTTGATGCCATTGAAACTGAAAAAAATTAAATTGAGAGAAAAGTTCAAACCCCCCAAAAGGCACATCTACATGATATGGAGAAGCAAAGTTGGTGAAGATGGGTCAATTAGTTTCAGAATTATGCTCCGGAAATGAACTTTACCCTTCAAAAAGACAAAGTCCAAATTGTTGCCATGAAAACAGAAAAAAAATAAAATTGACAAAAAAACTCAAACCCCCAAAAGGCACATCTACATGATTTGGAGAGGCAGTATAGCAAATTTTGTGAAGATTGGTCAAAGTAGTTTTAGAGTTATGTTCTGGAAACAGTGGGAACGCCGTTGCCCGCCGACAGAAACTCAACCACAAATATGTCTCCCGACCCTCCGAGGGGAGACATAATATACTACAAAAGTTTTCCTAGAATGGACGGAGAGCACAAATACATTGAATCTGTGACACTGACAGATACATGTTCAATTTGACCCCCTAGCCAATGGGTACCCGGTGGGATCAGATGGTAATGTGAATGCAAAACAGGCAGCTTTAGCTGTATGACTATAAGTGGCAATAGCAGCAGTGTGAGTGAGTTTAGAACCTTATTTCTGTATTTTGGCTATATTACAGAGACACACTTAGGAAAGCCTGAAGGGTTCAGGCCCATGAAATTAAGACTTTGGTGAACCCACTAGCATAGGCCCAGTGTTCATAGTCCACAAACCTACAAACATTATCAGGGGGGAATCATAGAAACATTATCAGGGGGAATCATAGAAACATTATCAGGGGGAATCATAGAAACATCAAAAGGGGAAAGTGGTTGTGGCAGTGGAAGGGGTAGTGGCAGTGGCAGTGGTAGGGGTAGTGGCAGTGGTAGTGGCAGTGGCAGTGGCAGTGGTAGTGGTAGTGGCAGTGGCAGGGGCAGTGGTAGGGGTAGTGGCAGTGGCAGTGGCAGTGGTAGTGGTAGTGGCAGTGGCAGTGGCAGTGGTGGTGGCAGGGGTGAGTGGCAGTGGCAGGGGTAGTGGTGGTGGTAGTGGTAGTGGCAGTGGTGAGTGGCAGGGTAGTGGTAGTGGCAGGGGTAGTGGTAGTGGTAGGGGTAGTGGCAGGGTAGTGGCAGTGGCAGGTGGTAGTGGTAGTGGCAGTGGCAGTGGCAGTGGCAGTGGCAGTGGTAGTGGCAGTGGCAGTGGTAGGGGTGGTGGCAGTGGCGGTGAATTAGTGGCAGTGGTAGTGGTAGTGGTAGTGGCAGTGGTAGTGGTAGTGGCAGTGGCAGTGGCAGTGTAGCAGTGGTGGCAGTGGTAGTGGCAGTGGTGGCAGTGGTAGTGGCAGTGGTGGTGGCAGTGGTAGTGGTGGTAGCAGTGGCAGTGGTAGTGGCAGTGGCAGTGGTAGTGGTGGTGGTGGTAGTGGTAGTGGTAGTGGTAGTGGTAGCAGTGGTAGTGGTAGTGGTAGTAGTGGTAGTGGCAGTGGTAGTGGTAGTGGTGGTGGTAGTGGCAGTGCTGGTAGTGGTGGTGGTAGTGGCAGTGGTGTAGTGACAGTGGTAGTGGTAGTGGCAGTGACGTGGTAGTGGTGGTGGTAGTGGTAGTGGTAGTGGTAGTGGTGGTGGTAGTGGGTAGTGGTAGTGGTGGTGGTAGTGGTGGTAGTGGTGAGTGGTAGTGGTAGTGACAGTGGTAGTGGTAGTGGTAGTGGTAGTGGTAGTGGTAGTGGTAGTGACAGTGGTAGTGGTAGCGGTAGTGACAGTGAGTGGTAGGGTAGTGACAGTGGTAGTGGTTGTGACAGTGGTGAGGTAGTGGTAGTGGTAGTGGTAGTGGTAGTGGTAGGGGTAGTGGCAGTACCAGCAGTTGTAGTCCTGCAATGTATTTACCATACCACTTCACATCAAGCCACAATGACGTCCCTGTGTTGCACCTGCCCAGATGTACAGGGCTTACACAGATCAGTTCACAACAATTAACTGCATACATAATCCACAAACAGTGTTTTGTTTGAAGTTTACGCTTGTGCATTGTCTGCACCAGGTTGTGTTCTCACAGGCAATGTTACTGCCAAAATCCCCCAGAGCTGGTGTCACTCCATGTTGAAAATAATGGGCCACCCTCAATATTGCATCAACCATCACGTTTCAAAGACACATGTTCACAGTTAATGACAGCATGTATTCATTACAAGGTTGCATCATCTGGCTGACAGTAAGAAACACTAGGAACATAGCAGCCATATATGTATTTGCCAAGTCATCTGAAAGCACACTCTCTCTCCTCTTGTAATCTTCCACTAAGCATACAGACACATGTAACATAGACCATAACACCTCATTTGAAGTGAGAGATGTTTTCTTGAATTGTGGTTAGAGAAGACATGACTTGTCCTACCCTCCCCCTGTTAATCCCTTCCCCCTCCATCAGTCCCCCCTTCCCTCTGTGAGTCCCTTCCCCCTGTACACCTGAACTGAAAGCCGACACCCTCACAGATGGCTTGTCATGTTGAGCACAAACAACAGGGACAGATTACATGGCTGACAAGCAATGTAAAAACCAGTTCAAGCTTCAAATGACATCCATATTTATCTACAATGATACATTTCACATGTCTATACTACTGATGTCAGAGGCATGGTGGGAGACTGGAGGGACGACAGGACAAGCTGGGGAATTAAAGCAACCAGGCCCCACTCCACATGGGATCATGGCGCTGTGACTTTCATCACCAAAGAAAACTTTCCCACTGAGCACAAAAATGCAGAAAAGCCCACATTAATCGTGGAAAAAGCAACATAAACATAATTCCTCGCTACTGAAACTGTAAAAATGGCAACTTTAAATCGCTAAAACTGCATATAAAAACGAAGACCCTGCAACTTCGTTTTTGTGCATGCGCACATGGAAGAGGAAGTCTCAACCGCTTGTTGACATTTTCCAGCTTGGACAAAAGTTACATTCCTTTTTAACGTATTTCTGTTGTGTTATTTGGCATTTATCATCATCTTACTTGTATGTACACTTGTTTAGTTTACTTTCCATTTTGACAGCAATTATTTCGACATATTCAATACTGTTTCTACACAAGGCGATTGAAGGTTGCTCGGAAATTTGAAAGAAGTGCGGATCGTAATGCGTATTTATTAAACCTGAGTCTTAGTTGGTCTCACAGTCCCTAGACAACATTATTTTCCTTTCAACCCTGCCCTTTCTGCAGTGCTAAAGCCCTAAATGAAGCAGGTCTAGATTTCCTCAGTTTCAGGTTCTGAATCTCCAAAATCACTGGGCTCCTTTTCACTTTGCAAGGAATTATTTGTTTCTACCAAAATTATTATATTCAGAGAATAAGCAATAGTACATCTGAGTCTTTGAAAAGGCTTAATTTTGTTCACAGACCATAAAATAGAATGTTCAATGTAACTACATCAGTTCCTAGAGATATGGTTATAATCTTACATAACCTATGAACTATGGGATACTCCTATTATGGCATTATGACTTGATATGCCTATTGGCAGCAAGGTTTGATACTCCTACTGTGATAGCATGAAATGATACTGCTACTGCAATATGATTTGATACTCCTGTTTGGATATCAGGATATGATACTCCTACTGTGGCATCAGGATTTGATACTCCTACTGTGGCATCAGGATTTGATACTCGTATGGCATCAGGATTTGATACTCCTATTATGGCATCAGGATTTGATACTCCTATTATGGCATCAGAATTTGATACTCCTAGTGTGGCATCAGGATTTGATACTCCTAGTGTGGCATCAGGATTTGATACTGCTATTGTGGAATCAGGATTTGATACCCCTAGTGTGGCATCAGAATTAAATAATGCTATTGTGGCGTCAGGATTTGATACTCTTAGTGTGACATCAGGATTTGATACTCCTAGTGTGGCATCAGGATTTGATACTCGTATGGCATCAGGATTTGATACTCCTATTATGGCCTCAGGATTTGATACTCCTATTATGGCCTCAGGATTTGATACTCCTACTGTGGCCTCAGGATTTGATACTCCTATTGTGGCATCAGGATTTGATACTCCTATTGTGGCATCAGGATTTGATACTCCTATTGTGGCATCAGGATTTGATACTCCTAGTGTGGCCTCAGGATTTGATACTCCTATTGTGGCATCAGGATTTGATACTGCTATTGTGGCATCAGGATTTGATACTCTTGTTGTGATATGATAGACTTCTATTGTAACACTTTCTTTTCATTCTCAGTACATAAATCATTGTAACAATACAAAAGTGTGAGTTCTGTGGTAGTTACAGTATAAAGATTCCCTAGTGGTGTAGAGACCAGGACAAGAGCTCTACATTGACAACAAGTCATCTATCCGTGTTCTGTTACTGTTCCGAAACCATTCCAACCACCCAATACCCATTTATCTCAGACCAACTGTAATTTTGGCACAGGAAGCCAGACACAATGAAAGACACCCGATATGCATCTGGACACAAGCCGGGAACAGGA